CTCAGTGCATCCCTTTCTTTTTGTTTTTTTGCTTGAAATTAAGTATTTTTTTAGCATTACTATTCTTTTTCGATACCCAAGTGAAGCCTGGTAATGTGCATAAATATAGTGTGTATGTATGTATGACCCCTGTGTTTCACAGAAGCTGACATGACAGAAATATTGATATAAAAACAAAAAAATTATCTGGCTAAGTGAACAGGGTGAAGGAAAACTAAGGTCTTTTCTTTTGACGCCAGATTTAACAACATCTGCTTGAGTCTCTTGGTCCTTGAAAAAGTTGAATTTCACCTCAGAGTAATATTGATCCCATAATGGCTCCATTTTACTGTATGACCACGATAGTAGTGTTGTTGGACTCCAGTCATTTACCCTTAATATTCTTTGAAATAGATCGAAAGATCGTACCTACATTAGAAATGATCCTTCTGATTAAAGTTTTTTTTTCCTGTTGCTTTGTTATTTTTCTGAAAGATGAAACAATTGTTTTGTCGATGATCTCATTTTCAAAAAACATGTACATCAACACCTGGTCGGATGGACAGCCAAAGCGCTCATGTATGTCACAGAAAACCTCCTTGCTGAGGCTGTTCAGGCATTTCTCTTCCATTTCAAATTTCTGTCTTTTAACTTCTGACCAGATGTTTTCAACGAGACGTTCTTCCAGGTCTCTGAGTGCATCGTCACAGAAAACGATGTTTGACTTACTCAAGCCTTGTTTGATTAGCTCCCTTGTGAGAAGTCTTATCCCGTGTTTTCTCTCTTGAGATTTAGTGGTTTCTGTTTTCTGATGGGATTCCTTCTGCTGTGGTGGATTAAGACTCTTGGGTAGCTTTGTAGGCTGCTTTCTAGCTGCCTGAACCTGCTGTCGTTCAAGCATCCTCACCACAAATTCTTGGATCATGTTGGTAAAAAACATATTCAAAGATTTATCTCTGAAAAATTGATGGAGCATCTGCACCGGGTCTTGCATATCAGCTTTAGGATTGGACATGGATACCAAATGTTTTATGAAGAATACCAGAAACATCTTTTGATTCTCAGATTGGAAGTTTTCATTAACGCCCATTACTTGAGCAAAGGCTGAAGGAATGCTGTTTCCGATTATGGTTTTAATTTCCTCCAATCTGAACATGCGTTTCTTCATCTGTGGGGAAAGCCTATGCAGAAGGATATGAGTGATTCTTATCAGCAGTTTTTTGATCAGGCGTGTGTTATTTGTTCCTGGATCCCCAGACTTCATCTTCTCTAATGAGATGCTTCTGACAAATTCCCTGATTTCAGGTTTTAATTCCTCTTGTGTTATACTCTTAACTATAAACGCAGTGGTGGCTATGTTACCCATGTTGCTGGCCTGAGCACTAGCTGTTGAGTGGAGAGAGACTGGCTATCTGTTGGTACAACGAGTATAGAAGGAATGACGTCACAAAGGCATCAAAGAGGGGGCGTGGGCGGGAATGAGGTCAGAATTCCGTTTAAACCAAAACAATTTATTTGATCTTTTTTCATATGTTTAAACTAAGGTATTGTATTGCTTTTAAGGGGAAACTGTTTGTGAACACGCTTATTTTTTTAAGCAGAAAAACGATCAGAAAAATTAAACTTACTACAAAAACAAGCTTTTTACCAGAGAGCGCGGTTTCCCCCCCTCCCTCACTCTGTGCTCGTAGCTCTCCAGTTAGATCGACCCGGTATGGCAGGCCATTTACATATTTATTCAAGCTAATTAACGCTAGCATAGCCATAGCCATAGAATTTAACCATTTGGTTCAATTCGATCTTTATTAAAAACAAATGATCAGGCTTTTGTTAGAATAGAAAATCCCTTTATTGTCTCACAATGGGAAAATTCTGGTGTTTACAGCAACAAAAATATTATAGAAAAAATGGTTACACAAATGTGGACCTTAGAAAAGTGTATAAGAATAACATAATAGTGAAGATTAAAATAAAAGCAAATAAAAATATTGTACTGTAAAATGTTTTAATATAAATACTGTGCACCTCGAGAAAAAATAACCGATCTATAGCTGTGAACATTGTTACAGTAATGGATATTTGAAAATAGCAACATGTGCAAAATGACAGCAGCATGTTATTTTACTGACTAAAGTAGAAGCTGCAAAATCAGCATGAATGCAACATTTTATTGAGGTTGCATTCATGCTCATAATATAATAAATGACCCCTCACACCCCCAACATGGACTGTTTTCCCTGCTGCCCTCTGGGAAGAGACTTTGAAGCATCTGATGCAGGTCCATCAGATTCCAGAACTGTTTCTTCGCCGCTGCCATTAGACTGCTATAAAATGGGCTATAAAAAAAAAAAAAAAAAAAACTTTACTGTTGGAACTGTAACTATACAGTCATATGTCATCATTGTTTTTCATCACAATGTTTTTATCACTGCTTGCTTACCTGCACTTTAAGAAATGAAATAGTCTAGAGAGCTGTACTTAACGAAATTGCTTTTTTTTTTTACACTTGTGTGTACAAAATGACAAAATAAAATCTGTCTTAGTCTAAAAAATGTAGAGAACGGAGTATTAAAAGAATTTAAACGAAAGATTGAGATAGGGAGGAAATTGGGGTAGTTAATAAAGCATTGTTTTTATTTTTACATTACACAAAATAAAAAAAAGAATAGTACTTGGAACCTTAAAGGAATAGTACACCCAAAACATGATTAGCCTTCATTTTCTACTCACCCCCATGCTGAACAACACTCTGGAGCAAGGGGGTAGGTTTGATTTGAACTTTGGTAGGGACACTATTGGTCTGGTGTCATTGGTGCTATGCAATATGCATGTCCTTTTTTATGCTCAATGTGAGCATCCGTACTGATAAGAGGAATTCATTGTTAAAAGAGAAAAACATTTTGCTCCATTAATAAAAATGTTATAAGCTCTACACTCATTAGATGCTGTTTATCAATGTTTGAAGTATCACCGGCTCTGATGAATGTGGAATTAGGACTGTTTTCCACTTTGAAAATGGTTTCATTTGAACGACTAAGAGAGAAGGTAAATACAGTATTTTCTTTTGAAGATATAGAATTGTGCAGAGTTAAACCCCACTCTAATATTTGTACCTACTATTCTCTCTCTGTATCAAGCAAAATAATACATTCATTAAAATATTAACTTCACTATAAAAGTTGAACATCTGGGCTGTAGTTACTCTGTGTAGCCCATTTCATGTATTTCATCTGGGACTGAAAAAAATGAATCATATTAATTAATTATTTCAAAAACTGTCAACTAATTTAGTAAGTGATTCATCATTAACTGGAGAATAGAGACTTTAAAACATACAGTAATATAAATGTAAAATGTGCCTTTCCCCACAGAGCAACCCACTTAGATCAGTTATTATATCAAAATTGTAAAAATAAAAACAAAAAAATGAAAACAGTAATATTAACTAAATATCGGTAAAAAAGAAACCCTCACATTTTCTTTTTTAGGTGGCTGTGGCTAAGAATCAGAAATGTTGATGGCTTACAGCCTTTATTTGCCCATTTTTCCAGCAGTCTTCAGAACTCCTGGCTGACTCAGAATATTTCGTTTTATAAAAGAAAAAAAAAGGTTTTTGTTTTTTAGTGTACATGATATTCATTTTTTTTTATTGGGACTAGTTTTGTAGCCTAATATTAATTGTAGTAACCGCAGCATTCTAGTGTGAATAAATTTTCAATGTTGTGCTCCAAGCACAGGCTGACTAGAAAACAGCCAATCAGAGAGAGAGAAGGCGGAACTTAAGGCAGACCAACCAATGAGAGTTGAGTTAAACAGCGCAGCACAGCTCCATGCGCTGCTACATGAAAGGGACAGGAGAGACCAGGCAGAGGAGCTGTGAGAGAAAAAGAAGCCTCTGCTGCAACAACTACTGCTGTAAATTATAAACATGTTGCTCACATCCAATTATTGGTAGGGACATTTAGGTTGGTTCAAAATTTTGGTAGGGACATGTCCCTATGGTCCCTATGCAAACCTACGCCCATGCTCTGGAGTACTTTTTTGATATCTCAAATGCATCTGGAGATCTGGGAGGCTTCTTGCTGTCTGCTGACATTCAAATAATGGAGGTCTATGGCGCCCGAAGCAGAAAGGTCCATAAAAGTCCACAAAAGACGTGTCAATATTCCTCCATACTGCTTGTCCAATGTATTCCAAGTGTCCTGAGTGGGTAGCGTCCATAATTTACTCGAAACTAAGTCATTTAGAATGTTTTTAGAGCATAAACAGTAGTGTATAGGATTTCCTAAAAGCGCGTTCACGAGTCTACGGAAACCGCGGCAGAGCAAACCAGATGAAAGTGCGCATTCAGCGTCTGCTCTGCCGATAATGCAAGCGTAGAAGAAGAAATGTGCTGTTTACCTGTGCAAAGAAAGAAACAACGAAAGAAAAATGTCTGAGGACTTCAGTGTTGAGGAAGAGCATGAGTTCTTTGCCGAGCTGAATGCGCACTTTCATCTGGTTTGGTCTGCCGCGGTTTCCGTAGACTCGTGAACGCGCTTTTAGGAAATCCTATACACTACTGTTTATGCTCTAAAAACATTCTAAATGACTTCGTTTCGAGTAAATTATGGACGCTACCCACTCAGGACACTTGGAATACATTGGACGAGCAGTATGGAGGAATATTGACACGTTTTTTGTGGACTTTTATGGACCTTTCTGCCTCGGGCACCATAGACCTCCATTACTTGAATGTCAGCAGACAGCAAGAAGCCTCCCAGATCTCCAGATGCATTTGAGATATCAAAAAAGTACTCCAGAGTGTTGTTCAGCATGGGGGTGAGTAGAAAATGAAGGCTAATCATGTTTTGGGTGTACTATTCCTTTAAAGCTACACACTCGTGTACAGTAGGTGGCGCCGCGGTATGCACCTATAAGTTCCTTACGGTCCGCCATAATAGAAAATAATAAGAAGAAGCTACACACTCCTGTACAGTAGGTGGCGGTATGCACCCACAAGTTGTTTGCAATCCGATACTAAAACGAACGAAGAAGAACGGTTTCAACACAAACGCTTTAACAAACGTTAAGCTAAAGGCACCGTTAGCAGCTGTGTCGTAGTTTTGATGTTTGAGGTTTCTACCTGTGGGGAATAGTCCTGGCCCGTGCAGAAGACCTCGTTTCGTTTTTGTCGTATTTGTCTGGGATGTATGGATGGATAGTTGACGGAATATCGTCTCTGTTTGAGCCCATTACCAGGCAACACCATACCGAGTGGCCCGCGAAAAGAAGGGGCAGCGGAGAGGGAGCACGGCGGCAGGACAGCAACGGAAGACCGGCTAAACGGAACTATCAGAGGTCGGTGTTCTGATAGAAAGAGGTATTCTGGTCGCACTGAAATTCCCCTGTGAATTTATTTCAGGTTTGTTTACTAAAAGCTTATGGTTCCGGGTAAAATTAGCCAAAGCAGCTACAAATATATATGTAAACTTTTAAATATTCCTCATCTGAGGCAACTAGCTAATGCCCTCTATGTGCCATGAAGACACTAATGGCCTAAATATTGAATACAGGTGAGTTGAAGCAGAGGTGGATCTGACATCAGTTAGCTAAGAGCTAAGACCTTGCTCTTTGCTAACTGCGCTTTTTTAAATATATTTTTTTCTTTTATTTGCAATTTATTCAAGTTTAACCTTTTATTTATTATGTATTAGGCTTTTGAAGGACCCAATCATGTCAAATAGTTAAGGTTGCTGATACAGCTAACCTTATACTGTATTTATGTAAAATATCCTAGTATTTGATAGCATTCTTAATACTTTAAACCTTGGTAGATGTAAATGTAGAATTGACAACTGGTTGGGAAGTAACCCTTTAGAAATTAGATCTTTAAAAGATGAAAAAGAGTTCTCTGGAACCTGTTGTTAGGAAATAAAATAGTTACTGAAGATGTAATGCGAAATGATTAGATGATGAGGAATATCTTGCTCAAATTAGAAAATAAAGGAAATTGAAAATAGTGACTCAATTGTAGATGAAATCAACATTTCTGAAGTTTGAAATAAGAGAATTTTACTTTTCAGTTTTGTTTAGTTCTAAACATAAGGAATTTAAAGAGGATCTTTTTGAGTAAAATCATTAAATTTTGCATTAAACCTACTTTAGGTCCTGATCAGCTTTATTTAAATAAAGACCATAGTGCCTTTATAAGATGTAGTGCATAATGGATAGAGGCGGGTGATAATAACTCGTAATTTATCTAAATTAGAACAAAACTGATAAACTTATAATATAATTTCAGGTCTTATTATAAATGGAGAAGAATGTAAAGATCCTAATTTGTTAGAGATGGAAGTTTCTACCTTTTATCCTAAACTTTATTTGGCTAATTGCGCTGAAGTAGATTGTGACCACTTTTTCAATGATATATCTGCTTTGATTCCTAAGATTGACTCATCTTTAAAACTATATCCAATGCCGAACTTAAAATTGAAGAGCTAGATACTCCAATAAAAAAAGGGGTGATAAATCCCCCAGATCGAATGGCTAACTGTTTTTTTGGATCAATATAAGGAAATTATTATTTAATGCTTTATTAGAATGTAATGATAAAGAAGAATTGGTGACAACTATGAAGCAAGGTTTGGTTTTTCTCATCCCAGAACCAGGAGAAGACAAAAGGATTTTAGACAACTTCAGACCCACCACTCTTTTGAATGCTGATTATAAACTATTTTCTAGCTGTATTGAAGCCAGACTTAAAAAGTGCATTTCAGAAATAATTGGTGAAACTCAATCAGGTTTTTTTAAAAAGAAGAACCATTCATAATAATAGGCTGGTTTTAGATTAGTTGATTAGAGTAATTTGATTACTGACAGTGGGTTTATTTTGTTTTTAGATTTGTACATTTGATACTGTTGACGACTCATTTATCTTGAAAACTCCAGCACACTTTGGATTTGTAAAAAAAAAAATCAGGAACCTTATTAAAATGAATAATCGCGAAATAAACAGCTCTGATTAAGTCATGAGATGTGTAATAGGTTCCACTTTAATACATCTTTCCCGCTGGCCAAAAAACCTGTTTAAACCCGGGAACAATTGGCTTTTAGTGGCAGTGGGAACAGCTCACTGACGAGTGTCTACCAGGGTCAAACGACTCTAAGAGCGACCCGCTTTATAATCGCCTCGGCTCTTATCGACTTGCTGTAGGAACATCAGACCTTGGTTGACAAGCTATATTACATGACACCATTGAACATAATATTGTATGGATGTCAACACACCACACCAGCCATGTTTGATCTAACAACCCGAAACGACTCTGTTTACATTCGATGAACATGGCACAGCTCTGGGAAGAGAGATTTGGAAATGTAATAGACCAAAACGACAAAGCACACTTACTATGCTCTGGCTTCCTTGCATGTTGCTCTTCATTGTTTACTTTCCTGATTTCTGTTGCACTGGTGACATCATCAACGCTAACAAAACGTTGTGGTGTCACCAGACACGCACACGTGGGGTACAGAAGCCATGCAGCTTGCCAGTGAAGAGTTAGACCCAGCTTTTTTGCCAATGGGAAGGTAGCCAAATGCTGATTGTTAGCAGGTTTAAAAGCATGCACAAACTTTTCAGACGTTAGAGGTTGGAGGCATTCCTCAGGGCTGTGGAAGTTCATGATTATTATTCATTAATGGTTGCAGAGATCCTGTCAATATTAATTAAAAACAGTGGTAGAGCTGGAATTGAGCTATTGGACAAATGTATAACAATTAGACAATGATGTCAGCCTTTTATTGAGAAATGTAGGAGAAATTCCTTTAGCACTCCAATTTATAAAGTTATTTTCTAAAGCCTCTGGTTTTTAGTTAAATTTAAACAAATGTGAAATTTTTCCTTTGAAAGACCATCCATTACAATCACTTTTTAACCTTAATATTAAAGATGGGATAAATGATGGGAAAAATATTTGGGATTTATTACAAAAGACAGGACGTCCTCCACTAACATTAATATTTTCAATAATATTGAAAAATGTAAATCGATGGTAGGGCCGAAACAACAAATAAGATTAATCGATTATTGAAATAATGGTCAACTAATTCATTAATTGATTGACTGTTAACTGGAGTATAGAACCTTTAAAACATGCCTTTAGCTGACAGAGCAACCCACTTAGAGCGGTAATTATGCCAAAATTGTGAAGAAGAGAAAAAAAATTCCATTAAAAAAAATAACCTTTTCTCCTGTCAATAAGCTTTTCCCAGAACTCCAAGTCGAAAAGTTTTAGTTTCTCCTGGTTTTATTCTGTAAATAATCTACTTTAAGGAAACTTTCGCTGTCCGATTATTAAGCAAATAATCGAAAAAATATTGGTCAGATTACTTTATTATCAAAATAATTGTTTGTTGCACTCCTAATCAATTCTTAATCATTGGCTACAGAGAGAAAATACATATTTGTTAATTTATGAAATAAGAACATCATTGTTTGTTTTTGTTTTTTTCTATGGTTACAGTGTACATGCTGCAGATAGCGTTTGTCAGACTGACCCAGTGGAGACAAAACGACCCAGACGAGGTGTGTTGGACTCCCCTTATTCAAAAAGTCCTCTTAGCTTGTATTTGAGTAGTTGTTTACTTGTGATGTTCTATTTTTAAGATGTTGTGATCAGCTTTGTAAAGAAGACGGCAGCAGGTATAGCAGGTCTACTTAGGCTGCGGAAACCGCTGCAAGCAAAGTGGGAAAATCCAAACAAGAATGAAGAAACACAGGTGGGCTTATGGCTGCTTCAAGTGCTTCATTATGCTTTGTAGATATGGATGATCATTGTTTTTTTGTTTAAAGACTGAGATTTGAAATGAGGACAGATTGAAACATGGATCATAGCTTTGCATTTTAAGACTAAATAATTATGTAATGGAAGTAGTCCTGTTGAGATGTAGTAGAAGTAGTATTGGTCAAAATCAAGTGATTTTGCCGTTCTTATGCTTTTGAAGTTCTTAGCTGCTTTTGAAATGACAGATCACAGAATTCCAAAAAAGGCAAAAAACAATCTACTGGACTTTGTTTCCAATTTTGAAGATGCTTCACTTCCCATCCAGGAAGCTTTTTCAATTCAAAATGTCAGAATTAGCGTGGAGTTTGAGGCTTTATAGATTGGACCAAAACACCCCCCTGTTTAAACAGAAGGGGATGGACTCAGGCTTCAGATTTCAAAAACCTACAATGCAGCGATAAAGTTGATTCCTTCCTGCTATCATCGTATAACCTGACAACAGATGCATGTCTCGCTCCGCCTACAGTAGCTCAACTCACATACATCTGGAACACCGCCATAGGAATTGCCTTTACTGAAGGCTGGGCCTTATCAAAACTCCTTGCATATGATTGGATAAGCCACTTGTCTGTCATCTTTATCGACGTGCTATTTCAACCACTCACACCGAAGCTAACCCGTGACGCTGTGAGAGGAGGAGCCATTTGGTAGATCAAGCTCTTGCCAAATCCGGTCGGGAGAAGGGCGAAAACATCGTTTCCACCAACAAAAGCCTTCAAAGCCGTTCTCTGATGTTCTTTTAATGAAACAATATCAGATAGATTGGACAACACTCCAGGACACACCCGCCCTGCGTCCTGATTGGCCAGACCATAAATTTGGTTGGGGAAATCACTTTCAATGAGCGGTGTTCCAGATGTATATGAGTGGAGCTAGGCAGAGCGAGACATGCATCTGGCTGTTGTCAGGTTAATCATCGTAACCCCCATCCCCAAAAAAGGGACCAGAACATCTCGCCTGTTCAGCAAGGCCAACAGTTTCCCCTAACGAGTCCCTTTCAGAGGCATAGACGGGTATCTGGTATTGCATGCTAACAAAAAAGCCAAAAGACCCCATTTCTAAGGGGTTGACCCATTCGCTCAGTTCAGATTGCATGTTTTATAAGCCCATAACAAGGCATTGATTTTGTCCAATCTATAAAGCCTCGAACTTGACGCTAATTCTGACATTTTGAATTGAATAAGCTTCCTTGATGGGCAGCGAAACATCTTCAAACTTGGAAACAAATCCAGTGCATTGTTTTTTTTTTTTTTTTTACTTTTTTGGAATGACTGACCTGGATGATTGAAAATCTTCACCAGCAGCAGATCACAGGGTTCTGGTCTCTGGTTTTTAAAAACAAATTTAAACACAGATGCTGCTTCTGTTGCTGATCCTCTTCTGCACTGCCTTACAGTTGTTCTATGGATGCTTAACTAGTGTTTTGAAATTTATTTTACATAGTTTAAAATTTGTTGTACTGGTTTTTGTAGAGTGCAATGTTTACATACCCTTACATTGCAGACAGAAAAAAATCAACTGCCTGCAAAATAAATTGAAACTGGCAAAAGTAATAATACAAGCAAATGATAAAAAAAAAAAGGAAATCATGACTTAGATGTGCTTTAATGATAAATTTGATTAAAATGTCTTTGTAACATTTTGTTTTATTGTAGCCTATTACTCTAATGGGCATCGATGAGCTGCACACCTCATGGGTAGAGAGCACTGACAGGAAAATGGGTAGGTGAAGCAATAATCTCTACAGAAACTTGGTCATTCGCAATATTCATTTTTTTCTTCTTCTTAGATAAACCTGTAGGTGGAGCAAATGACAGGAGTGCAAATAATCCCTTCCAAAGCTCTTTCATAAGAAAATACAGGTTTGTGCTCTAGTTCTGGTTTTAAGTCTAAGTCAAACCTTGAGTTTACATTGTTTCTAAACTGTGTTTTCATGTTGAATCTAGTGGAACTGCCCACCCTGCTGGGCTCCCAGATAAAGGGAAAAACTGGGAAAGAAGAGGCTCCCTTCAGCTGCTGCCTTCAAGGCCTGCTCTCAGAGTTGGAAATGGTAATTCCGAACAGTTTTGTAATGGCTACGGCCACAGCCGCTGCTACAAGCCCAGTCTAACTGTGGAAGAGGTATGAATTTATGGTTTATAGTATTCTTTCTATTTAGTATTTGGATAATTTTCCTGATTTTGTGTCTTATTTTGTATGCAGTAATTGTTAGGTTAACATTTAAGGGAGCCTTGTCATTGCTTAGTATTTTGTACCCCTAAATCATCTTTTTGTTTTTCTTTTTGTTTCAGACCATAAAGCAGAACAATAAGGAGCACTACAGACGCCTATTGGAAATGGTGACTGAAAAATACAGCAAAAACCAACCACTTCCCTTCAACCAGACAAAACCACAGGAGTGAGTGTTTTTATCTGAAGTGTGGGGTTGAAAAAACAAAACGTTAGATTTAATAGCCATGCACTTATCATTCTTTTTTTTTCTTTTTGTCCCTAGTGAGTCGACATTACAGCTTTCTCATAAAACACCTGCTTCAGAAAGACCCTTTGACTCTAGGAGGATGGTGTGCACAGGTAGGGCTCTCAGAATAATTTACCTTTTTATGTTTTTTTGTTTTTTTGTTTTCAGATGCTTCCATTAAATCTATAAAATGTCCCACTTTGTTTTTGGGATCATTCAGCTGATTCATATGGGGGGAAAAATATAAAAATTAGCTGCCCATTCAGATGAAGTGTAATAAGTCAAAGTTAATAGTCATAAATCAAAACAAACAACCAGTTCCACAGCTACAGGGAGAAATCTTGTTCTCCTGCTGCAGCCCAGTGGCGCTCTTCTGTGTGACCAACCTGTCAGCCTCATACCAGCTATAACTTCATCGTATAAACATAGTTTTGTACGTGTTAAAGAGTCTGCGTATTGTCTGGGGTTAAATTGTAAAACAAAAAAAAAAATCAAATAATTGTTGGACATTTAAAGCTAAATTATCTGAAACGGGGCATGATGGTCATATTACTATTGCAAAGTTGATTTTCCTGCAGCATTGCAGATGTAGAGAAGTTTTTTGACATGTCCAGAACACCTGTAGCAGCCTTACTTATAATGATCAAATTAAGAATCGGTTTCAAATGCTTAAAGGTACACTATGCAACCGGTGTTGATTTTTCCAGCGAGGCTCCCCCCAGAGGGCGAAAGTAAAAGTGCACTGTCGTTAATATGCAC